TAGTGTTTCTGGGGCGGCGGCGGCGGCTGCACCGGTTTCTTCGGGGCGTAGTACGTGGGCTCCGGCGGCGGCACGTGCACGTAAACGTGCTTGTGTATGACGGGCGCCTGTTGCGGGGGCCCGTACTGCGGCGCGGGTCCGCCGCTCGGGTACGGGCCGCCGCTGCCGCCGATGGGCGCCGCGTAGCTGTCCAGCGTCAGCCCGGAGAACCCGCCGCCCGCGCCGAAGCCGCTGAGCGGCGGTTCGGGTCGTCCCAGCCCTCTGCCGGCGGCCATCAACAGCACCTGCGAACGCGACGTATTTAGCGACTTGGGGGCTTACGAGTTTGAACCCACATAATTTCCCGTCCGCAATGCCGGAAAACGCGTGTTCTAAAAACACGTTTCGTTTGTCACGGCCGTAATCGTCCGGCCGCGCGCCGTCACTGTCGTGCCGAGGCGCCGTCCCCTCAACAATAACCCGTTAACGTTTTCACAACAATTACCACGTGTTTTCCGCGAACAAAACGCGAGCGCCACGGTTTGTAAGAAAAAAATAAAAAAAATATCCTAACCAGGGGACGGGGACGCTTGTAATATCGGCGGTTATCGGCGTTCCGTCTATCGTCACCGAATTATCGTTTGTCGGTAACGTTCGATTGCGCGCGATAAAACAGATAATATCCCGGAAACTCGAGATATTATTCTAATGTTTGGTGGTCGCTGGTACCGTTCACCGATACGATATTATTGTACTCGGTATTTAAACGATTCGGAGCGAGGAATGTGTTGGTGTTACAATAATAATACGACACTGTCCCGAGGAACTTTCAATGCCGTTGGTCCTGGGTGTACACTCACCCTGTACCCGGTCGGTTTTAAAAGCGGGGACTGGACGGGGGATCGGAAAATATCGCGTTTTTTATTTTTATCGACGGAAAACAACGTCGATCACGGGGGGTACGCGTTTCTCGTTCGCGGACGTCGTGGTTGTTGTGCGCTGCTGCCGCTGTTATTGTTATCGTTGTTGTTATCACTAGAACTGTTGCGTGTACGCGATTCGTCACGCGCCCGCAGATTTATTCGCGCGTAATCGGCGTCGCGAGGCGGACGAGCGCGTTGAAAAAACCGCGGCGCCCGCCCGTTTTCGGCCGAGTTCGAAATACACGAACGCGACGCCCGGTAGATTACGGTGATAACGGGTCAGTGAGGGTGTTGAAAACCCGGTATTTCTCTCGAAAACACACGAACTTTCGTCACAAGAACGGCGGTCGGACAGTCGATTGAACGTTGAAAACCGCCGGAACCCCCTCCACCCCGTAAGGCACAACACCTTTCGACACGTTCGCCATACGAAATGTCATGCATCCGCGGCTCGATTTTTGGCCGCGTTTGTGTGATAGGAGTGTAAAATACGAACAAAACGTAATCGCCGAAATCCGGCCATGATACCTTACTCTAAATTCCCGAGTTTGAGCTTGTTCGGCGTCCAATAGTAACGCGGAAATAGATCTACGTACGGCGTACTGCGCGTATACAAGTAAATCAACTGTAACGGACATAAATACAACGCGAACGTTTCCATTTTCGGGGCAAATTCGACAGAAAAATATCCCCACGGGCGTTTTTTTGTTTTTTGTGTACTGCACGCCGCGTCCGTCTTTTTGTCTTTCGTTCAAACGATTTTCGGCGCACGGATTCGAACCGTCGATTACGACGGGCCTTCGACTTTTAATACGACGGTGAATATTGTGAATTCGCGTTTTCGAACGCGTAGAAAAAAAAAAAAAAAAAAAAAAAAAAAAAAACGAACGAAAAACCTATCCATAATAATAATAATACGTAACGGCTCTTGTCACATTCGCACGTTATTACGCGCCTAGCTCTCTACGCGTAACAGTATAATAATAATAATCATAATAATAACGCGCGAATACAACGAGAGATAATATAATGCCGGACGTAACGCGTTGTTCGTATTCCGTCTCGCCGCGCGTTCCGTTGACCATAATGATAACAGTGTAATATTATTGCCGCCGTTGTTGTTGTTGTTGTTGACGGGCGTGACTCGCCGATCAATTATCGCGCGGTCGTCCGCGTTACCGTCGGCGTCGGGCGCGACAGCGGCGGCCCGCCGTCGCGCGTATTGTTGTCGGATGCCGGAAGTGGAAAAAGACTTCGCAACTCCGAAATATCCGGTCCCGCTCGGGCCGCGGCGAGACGACGCGTACACGGATGCGCGCCGAAATTATTCAACCGTCCGTAACCGACATACCGGCAACACTGCACGAAACCGCATAAGCCGACTTTCCCGGGGTAGGCAGGCGACGGCGGTATTATTGTACGTACGTCTTCGGCCCCGGGGCAGAATGGCTCTACAGGCCGCGACGGGCGTACGGGTCGTAAAACCCGAAACGGCAGTTGGAATTCGGACACGAGAAACGGATTACGTGTGTCACGGGTATTACGCGGGGGAAAAACAATCGAAGGGATCGCACGGTGAAAATTGCACGGCGAGTTCGGGAAAAATGAAACGAAATTCGCGGCCCCCCTCCCCCCCCGTTCGATTAGCCGCTAACAAGCGTACGGTTCGTCGATATTACATTTATGTACGAATCGACGCCGTCGCCCGGGGACGGACGAGACCGCGGAGACGCGCAATTGGTTATTGGTGTACGGGGACGGATCGCGCCGACTCCGGAAACGGTCCCGTGGCGGCGCGATATTGCGTATAATTTACGCGTATGATAACAACAACAATAATAATGTCGTTGTAGTCGCTGTTGTTGTTTTCGCGCGCGGTTTACCTGCGCCGTTTCGTTTTACGAGTCGTCGTTTCGTTTCCGCCCGGCCGGCGAGTGAAAACCGCCGGGGGCACCGCGAGAACCCGTGGGGGGGGGGGTTGCGAACGACGACGCCGCCGCCGCCGCCGCGTGTTTTCGACCGGGGCAAATAGTCTTTGAAACCGCGTCGAAACGTTGCCCCCCCCCCCGGGCGATCGCGTAAACGTATAACAATAACAATAATATTCTGTACCCGGCGAAAGGCGACTCTGTTGTCCCGGACGAGTTGGCGCGCGGGGAAATCTCGACGGGCCCCGTCGGCACACACACACACACACACACACACACAGAACACGACGCGCGCGGCAAGCATTTACAATATCGCGACGGAAGTTCGGCCGTTCCGAGTTCCCGCGGCGGCGCGCAATATCAATTCTCTCGCGGGCAGTCGCGTTTCTCGTCCCCCTCCTCCCCCCCCCACTGTCCCCCACACGAGCGTCTTTAGCGCCGGCCGTCATTGCGTTTGCACCGCGTTCGCCTCGAAACGTGTGTCAAACGACGGCGATAATAGTAATTTCGTCGAGCGCCGCCCACCGCCGCCTCTGCCCGCGCGTTTTCTCCCGGCCGTCGCCTTCGCGTTCGACTTTTCGCGGGACGGTCGGTTCGGAGCGCGCGTTCGAGGCGGGTAACGGAACCGGCGCCGTTAAACGTCTGAACATTGTCGAACGCGAGAGAAAAAACGCGTCGATTTCCGTTTTTTTTCGCCGTTCCCGTATCGCCGTCCCGCCGGTCTGACAAAAGTCCCGAGCACACGCACCGAACCCCGGGACGCGACGTTCCGGAATACTCGATACGCCCCGAACAGTCTCCCGCGAACAATAATTATTTATTTGCGTTCCCGCCCGCGTGTACGGAGACATCAACAAAAGAACTACTCGCAACGGTCGTGGAAACGCGTCGCATAAATAATGGCGTACGACCCGCCGCGGGGAACGCGTACGACATTACGTTCTGTTCGTTTTTTTATTTCACGTACGATATCACCGAATTCGCTGTATGAATATTTTTCGAACAATTTTTTTTTTTTTTTTATTGTCTTTCCCCTTCGCGTACCGTGCGCCCGAACCGTTACGAACTAATGTCGCCTCGCCTGCGACGGGCTAAAAAGTACCCGTCGCAACGTCATTGACAGCCGCGTCGTGTAATATTCAACGACCGTTAAAACACGCATTTATTCGATCCCGGAGGGCGATAACGGAAAACCTAGTGAGTTTACTGGGACGAGTTTTTTTTTTTATATTCTCGGAAAACATCTTTTTTTTTTTTTAGGCTGATAAAAATGCTTTGCCGATTTGTTCACGAAATACGTATCGCAAAAGACGTGGAATTTCCGGCCGACGGCATTCTATTCGAAACGTTCGTCGATATTGCTAACAGTTCATCTCCTACGGGTTTTTTTTTTAATTTGTTTTTTTCCCCCTCCCGTATAGAAAAACAAACTTTTCGGTCGGTAAGAATGTTTCGAATCGGGTAATCTTTATCCGGTAGCCAGTTCTTTATTCGCGCGAAAAAAATGCCTATAGATTCTCATCGGTTTTATACGCGGTATGTCGATTTCCGGATTGCCCGTCTTGTTGGTGGCGGAGAGGGGGTACACAAACCGCGACTAATACGTCTATTCTCAGAATCGTTTTTTTTTTCTCCCTCTGTCCCGCGCAATACTCCATCGCCGCGCGCGGTACACGAAACAAACGGTACACGGCGCAATATCCTGAGCTCTCGACCATTATCGTTATTATATTATTATTTTTTTTTTTTCCACGTCCGTAGTAAATTGTTCGGTATTAGGTTAGGTCGGCCGGGCGCGCGTTTACGAATGCACGCGCACGTACACAAATTTAGAGCGTTACAACAACGAACTTAGCGTTCGCGCGTGGTAACGAACAGAATACGGTGGGAATGCGAGCGGGACGCGTGAGCGCGCGATGCGTGTGTAATACGATTCCATAGGTGGGCAACGCGTCCGGGGAAAGAAAGTGTATTTAATTAGCTTATTATGCGTTCGTCTCCCGCCGGAATTACGGTAACGTCGTGCGAATTTGTATGCCGTTCGCGGCGCGCGTTCACACGTCGCGCAAGACGTGCAAGTATAAGTCGTCGCGACGTGTAGTGCGGCGCCCGTTTCCCGAAGAGCTTCGGTTTTAATGTCGCGCCGTTCCGTGCGCGCGCGCGCGCGGGGGGACGACGACGACGACGCGGGACTGGAGACGCGATCAATACCGCGTATGCCGAACGTATTATGCGGGGGTAACGGCCGCGGGCGCTGTGCACGGCATTGCGGTTCGGACGCCGCGGCCGGGTCCGGGGGCTTTACCGACCGATGTCCGGGTTCGGCCGACGCGGCGCCGGACGGTTTCCGTAAGAAACGGGGTTTCCGCGCGAGGAGTTTTCGGACGCGCGCGCCGGACGGAGGAGCACCACAAGGCGGACGAGGGCGCGATCGACGGGGCTCCGGGACGTTTTTCAACGGCCCGGCGTCGCGAAATCGATTGCGTCGGGACAGGGCACGTGCGGAACGACGCGATTTCGGATTCGTTTTTGTCCGGTGTCTCTCGTTGTTCCGGCAAGGGCCGCGCGAAACGGCGTGCCGGCGGTGTTCCATCTGTGCGGCACGCCGACAGAAAACGACAATCCCGCCGCTCGAATGGAAATCGGACCGATTGCGTCACAAAATATATTATACTGATAACAGCATAATAAAAGAAACGACCATACGAACAAACCGTGGCTCATTAAACGCGTTTTTTAGTTTTCCATTTTTCGCGGTGTACACCGCGGTGCCGTGACCAATCCATTGGTTTCGAACCGAGTGTTCCGGCGTGTGTAATTGACCCGCTCGTTCGCGGGAAAAACCACTAAAACAAACAGATTCGGCGGAATACAATCGTGGAATAATCGTACCGTGCACCGTTTATTCCAGTCCTCCGAGCTACCCTCTCTCCCAAAAAAAATAAAAAAATAAAAAAATATCGAACACTGCCTCGTCCGCGACGGCGGCGATCGTCGTGCGCATTTACATATATTCGCAAGAATGCCTTGATCATTTAAACTCTCCGGCCGACGGACGAGCTCAAAGTAATCCGAAAATTACCATCTGGCCTGACGGGTTTTTCGTCGAAAATTCGAATTCCTCGTCAATCGACAAAAAAAAAAAAAAAAAAAAACTAAAAAAAGTATTTGTCTCCGAATCTATCTGAAAATTTGCATAATTTACTGGAACGGATGACCGGGTTCGCGTGAAATCCGGATTTCCGATATTCAACCACTAAAGGGGTGTGGGAAGGGGAAGATTACACAGGGTTGTTTTCGGTATATTCGAAACGGAATAGTTGTTGATTTACGGGTCGACACGGACGAAATAAAAGAAAAAAACCGGGCAGATTCATCAATTTTAACGTCTTTTATTTTGGCACGAGCGACACTCTATAAATAATAAATAATTTTTGAAAATTTAAAATTACTATAAATCTCGTTTTGTTTATGATTTCGCACAAAAGTCGTGTAAATAATAAAATATGAAACGTTTTCATTTGTTATTTCACGCTATCAAATATTCGAGTGCCTGCGTGCGTATTATTATTGTATTTCGACCATAACACCCGTAATATTATAATATTATGTTTTTCGAACAAAAAAATAAAAAAAAAACCCTCTCCCCCCTAGTCTTTCGGCGTGAAATTTCGATCACTTTTAAAATAATATTGTGCGGACCACTCGCGATCTGTCGAATGACACTGCAGTATACGCAGAGAATGGCGTACTATTATGTTCGAAATTGCCCGGGAGATGAGTTTACATATTTCCGACATTACATAGAAATGTTCACCCGGGAGAGTTTACGCAGTGTTATGCCGTTCGCGTACGTCGAACAACTTAAGTCGACCCGTGAGAATATTTTACACGCCGCGACGACGGGTCGTATAAGTCCGAAACACGGCGAGCGGAGCGAGAGAGTTTACTACCCCGGCCGCGGCACTCCCGGTTTAGTAACGATTCCGGTGTCTTATTATACATTATTATACTCTGTCCGGAACGTACTTGACGCTCGACGGTAATGTGTTTTTCGCGGTTATGGGTTAACCGTGGTTCACGTTTGGTTATCGCCGTTTTAGCCTCCCTCCTGCCATCCGCCGGAGTATTTTCGAGTGAATATCCATAGCGTGTCCACTCCCCTCTATCCCGTACCGTAAAAAAGTTCCCGGAGACAGAGAGAGAGAGAGAGAGAGTGAGAGAGAGAGACCGAACACCGCCTTTGACTTTTAAACCTTCCCCAGGGCGCGCCCTTCACCCCCGTCCGCCGGGGAGAGCGGTTTTCGCGGGATAAGCGAATAATGTTTCGTTACGAAATCCACCGGCTCGACCGTTTTACCGTTTTACGCTCAGCGTAAATGCGGCGGACATCACGGCGCAGTAGACAAAGGGTTTCTGCCGAAACGGATTCGACCGCGTGCCCGTTCGGACACGGAAAACTTCCTTTGAAAGTCCCCGCTCCCTATGCCGCCCCCCGAAATCGACAAATTTTCGAAAATGTGTCCGCGCCACCGGCGACCGCGTAACCGATCGTCCCGCGGCGCGCGCACGTCTCGCAGTTCCCCGAAACAACACCGCCCGCCGGAAATATTGTGTTGCTGCAATAATAATATTGTTGCGCATTTTTTCTCGTACCGTTTAACGTGAGTACACATCAATATTATTATGGATCACGTTGCCGGCGTAACGTCATATTATTAATTGCACTCGACGCGCCCGGTGCCTTTTGACGGTAATGATGGATTATAGTTTCGCGTGTCCGCGGTCGGGTCGAAATGTACGCGAGGGGAAAAAACGCCGAACGGAAATGCGCGCCGCGTTTTACATTAAAAGGCCCGACGAAAGTCCTCCGGAAAACCCGGTACGCGTTTCGACATTTCCGACAGTTGTAGTTTTCTGTTTTCTATTCGGAATCGGTTTTTGATGATCGTCGCGCTTTCGGTACAATGCACGTAACAAAACTAATAAGAACACAATAAATTCCATATTCCTTCTACTCGGTCGGGCAAAAAAGCCGCATACAGGCAGAGTGAATTACCGGTTATTTCAACGCGGTACGGCGCGGTTCGATATTGAAATTTAATAATAAAAAAAAAAAAATAATAAAAAATAAACAATCGAAGAACGTCAGACACTCTCGTTTCCGAAAGAACGTTACCGGAAGTAGTTGACTTTTTGCATTTATGAATTTCCCGGTTATGACGTGTGTCGAGTATTATTTAATTGGCCGCTCGGGGAAAAAATATGAAAAATAATATTATAATCCGATTCGAAACCCTTCAGACGCTCCGCGAAACGAACACGAAAACACGCCGCACTTTACACGCGTGTGTACATAGGGTTTCAAATCGACGGTGCCGCGTTCGAATATCCAAAAAATAATAATGCGCGTTTAAAACATTACCGTTTCGCGGTGGTAGCCCCTTTTGTTTTTATTCGAAATTCGCCTCGTCTTAAGTGCTGCTTGCCGAACGGGAATCGACTTTGCCGTGGAAAACTGCAGTAGTAGCAGCAGCAGCAGCGAGTCCACCCCGAACAGCACTTTTCATTAAATTCTTTTTATACAGTTTCCATTATGTAAAAATGAAAAATGAAAGCTCGCCTTTTGATTTGGCAAATAACGCGAACGCGGAGCTTTTTAGTATTTTCGTTGTTGCTGTTGATGTTTTTTTTTTTTTTTTTTTTTTGCGGCATAGTTCTTTCTATACAGATTATCTTCCCGTTTGAACGATATTCTTGACGGGACGCATTAATTGCGACCCGTCAGCGTATAAACGCGACCCCATAAATATTTATGTTTTATATTCCACGACGATAGGATTGTCAAACAATTCACTTCTAATAAACAGCGGCAGTCTGCGTGTCGTGTTCGTTTTTTTTTTTCTTTACGCATTTTTCATTCCTATAATATTTTCCTCAACTACAATAAGCACGCGTTGTGTAAATAATGACTCATGATGCCGCGATGTTTTTAGCAGATGACTAACGGTTTCGCACTGTGATTGTAAAATAATACGCAGCTTTCCAAAAGAAATACGAAAAAAAAACCCCCGACAGCAACTACAATTGTTTTGTAAAATTGACCCCGTGTATTAAAAAAAAAATAATAATATTTAAACCGTATATGCGCGTGCGTAAAAAGCGCACGTTTCGCGTGTACAATCGACATATTATCGGTACGAAACGACTGCGCGGCGTATTAATAAACATCGAATTTTTATTAGGTATTATTATTATTATTTTTTTTTTCAAAAACGTATTACGGCGCAACACCAACACCGTTATAGTTTTTTTCAAGTTCGTTGTTTTATCGGAAATATAATACGTATTTTCCTGAAAGTTTAACACATTGTTTTGTCGTTAAAGTAGACGCGACTGCGGAATATGCAGAACATGCGTAATATGCGCGCGTACAATAAAATATAATGCACTTTGCGGGGCGGATTTAGATTAGGTTAGGTTAGTTTAGGTGGTGGTTCGTCTGACGCTTTAGTTCAGTGGTTCCTGACCAGCGGTCCGTAGCAAAAATCGCAAAAAAAAAAAAAAAATTCCGTCGTGTAGCGAATACACTGCAGAGCGATAAAGCATTGTTATATTTGACTCCGGCTAATCGCCATTGCCGAGTGGTGTTGTCGCCGAGAAAGGCCGAGCTTAAAAATCACCGTCGTCCGGTCGTCAAAAAACACTGATCTAACGAAAATACCGCGCGTAATCGAACGATCCTTAATAGTTTATCTGTCGGAGGGGGGGGGGGGGGGGGGGTGGGAACGTCCTCCTCAAACGGCTCGGACCGAGGCGGTTAACATTCGTCGAAAAGGTCGGTGCGGTTTAACGTTCGAATTGTGTATAATGCGTTTTGTTTCCATCCGAATGATGGAACACGGTATCGTTCGGCTGTAAAACTGTAAAAACCCGTATAATATTACCCGAGGACGATATAATTTGCGTTTCGTTTTGAGGACCGTTCGATTCGTTTTATCCGCGTATTATCATTACATGTTTTTTTTTTTTTTTTGCGGACATTTTGAGAAATAAATCGGTTTTTTTTTATGCTCCGACGATCAATTCGAAATATAATGTGTCATACATTCCGGTCAACGTCCTCGCGTTCGCGGGATATTCGATTTACAATATTTAGATTTATTTTAATGTTGGACACTCTCTCTAATTGATTTGTCAAATATTTTATCCGACTATTATTACCGTACGCCTTTATTTCGTTATATTCTCGTTTTGTATAATATTTTGTTTGCTTTTTTTTTCTTATTACCTTTTAGCCAGTGACCATGACAGCTTGACAATTATTTCAATACGAAATTATGGCAGTGAAAATTAAAAAAAAAAAAAACAGATAAATATTAAACAACAAAATCATCTTCCAATACGAAATTGATTAACTATTATTTGTGTGGCCATTCTGGATTTATTGTTGAGCACGGAGAAGAGCAACCTTTTCTCCGTGCTCAACAATACCTAACGTTATGGGGTGAACGTTAAGGGATTGCAAGTAACCGAGCAAAATTATACATTTAGTATGTAATGAACAGGGCTCGGGACTTTATGCATTTAAAATCCACAGAAAACAGCTTAAATAAACGTTAAAAGAGCTTTTAAAAAAAATTTTAAAAGTAAAAATAACAGAGAGCCCAGAAGGATTTAAAAATTCCACGCCTAATCCCCATGTCTCTAACCGTTAAAATGTACTGTTCTAACGTATGTAGTTTTTTTTTTTTTTTTTATAATACTTACAATTTTATATAAAAGCTAGTGTTGATAATTTTTGTAGTTTTCGAAAAATGTGGTTCATAAGTTATAGCCATTAGAGTGGGGTCTTTTAAAAACATATTACAATTTTTTGTTTTGTTTTTTTCCAAGTGCATTTTTAAGCATTTTTTTACAATTTTTTTTGTGGACTTTGGGCGCATAGAGTCTCCGAGCCCTAGTGACGAGGGACAGTCTACGGGTTAGCGCGGGCGTTAGGTCGCGGACGATTTCGTTTAAGTGTGGTGCGCAAACGGGAGAGCAATTTAAACCAAGTTTATGTAAGCGCGATCGCGGATAGGAGCGAATGGCCCGCACGGGGTCGGTTCAACCGGACAATAGTGGATCTTGGTGAATCTGAGTCGTTGAACCAAGTCGTTTTACAGGGTGTATCGGGAACAATAGATACGGCTGCAAAGTCATTGTGCAGTATCGATTCCCGTGTTAATTCTCGATTGTTGTCCGCGTAGCATGTTTTATGTTCTAAACTTTGTACCGTATACGGCGCGCCGTTGATTCGCCTTTACCGGAGCGTAAACGGATATATCGATGTCAGTCGGCCGTTACGTCGTTTCGTCGTTCGCTCGGCCGTTTCGTTTTTCCCGATATTTTATGTCGCGTCCGTACGCTCCGTAAAACGAACCGCGCCGGCGTTTTCCGCGGACCGGTCGCGCAAGACCGGACGGCGTACTGCATAGGCAAATCGGGTACTCCGGCGAACGTATTTTATTTTTTTTTTTCAAAATGTTTTCCGTTTTCCCGTCTACGCGCGATACCCGGTATTTTACGTGTTGTCATTGTTTTTTTTCGCTGCGAAAACGATTATCGCCGGCGTAAAACGTTCGACACCGGTTCTCGTATATTTCGCACCTGTTACATTGTCGTATCGTATTGATGTCGAGCGCACGGGGATTTACCGTTCAGCCGTATTGCGTTTCGTAAAAGTCGAGATTGCGCCGGAATTTTCGAGATTTCGGGGGGGGTGGTGGTTATTTTCCCGTAATTATCACGCCGTACGAAGCGCTCGAAAAAAATGTCCGGCGGACGGTATGGTATCACAGCAGCAGCGTACAACGTGTTATTTAACGTCAGTGGCGTCCGGACTGATAAAACGAAAACCCGTAAATGATCGCGGGGTAATCTTTGGTTGTCGATTTTTTTTTTTTCTACGTAACGATAAGTTTTCAATCGCAGTTTTAAACGAGCAGAGTTTTTTTTTCGGCATAAAAACCGCAACTTTTAAAATCAACACGTTCGTGTGTACGTTCTTAAGCGCGTTTACTGGTTACATCGATTCGGGGTGCGGTAATAAACTATAAATTATTATACGCTACGACAGTACAATCGAAACAGTTAGCGACGATGTTTACCGATTTCCGAAAAGGAGAAAAAAAATTGTTTATAATATTCGCGTACGAAAGTGAAATCAATATTTTTTTACGCGCAATATGAATAATCGTTTCTTGTATTCGGCGCCGTACGTATTTGTACGTAAAAACTCGCTACCATACAATCGTTCGTAAAGTTACGACATAATAATAATTAAAAAAAAAAATACTTGTTAATCGACCGAACTTTGAAAAGTCGAAATTCACCAACCCGTGTAAAAAGCGTCCGGTTAGAGCTCAGCTGATATTCCGTGGGTGTACGAAAAACGGGAAGGTACTTGGGAAATGGGAAAACTACTTAACCGGTTTTAAAACTTTTTTCGCGCATAAAAAAAGCTGCATTATCGGCAAGGTAACACGGGCTGCGTTTTTTTTTTTTCAAAATATGTCGAGATTTTTACGAAAATAGCTACAGTTAGGTTTTTAGGAATGTATCTAATTAATTAGATATATTCATGCCGAGAATACCTAATTAATTATTTAGTTTTGTTTATTATCACGGGTTACCTATCGGGTGACCCGGATGACGGTTTGGTTGTCACGGACAAAAAGTCTATTATTATTATCACAGTTGTTGTTTACACTGTTATCTAGCAACAGCGAAACATTGTCGGGTCAGTTAGTTGGTAATCTGCGTAAGTCAGTTTCTGCGTTTGTGCAATACGAGTGGTCCCAGGTATCGTCACCTTTTTGCCGCGATTTATGTACGGAAACCGATGACGGTATTACCGAACGTATGCAAACTGTTCGGAAATCGCATTAAATCGTGAAATTTTTACTAAATTAAACACGTTCGTCGATTGCGTTGGCCGTCTAAACGAGAACCGCGTCTCCGGATCTTTAGATAATATTGCGAGTTAAGTCGCCGCCGGGACAGTGCAATTCATACGGCAGGTCCGTCGGATTTCCGCGTTCGGTGTTTCCGCGCCTTCGGACCGCCCGAAGTGCGGAATATCGTACAGAATTCGATGGGCAAAATATTTTCGCGGTGTTCGAGACGAATTTTCAACGTCTCCGGACGCGATCCGAAGAACAACAAAAGGCTTATAATAGTTTTGCTGCACGATACGCCTGTAGGGAATTTGGAGTTTGTCGTGTTTTACGAATAAAAATCAGTCGGACGGGAAGCGGCGACGGTCGCGTCGGAAAACCGAGTTAATTTGTCTCCCGTACACACACGGTTATTACCGCACGCGTTAGCGCCGAAACGTTACCGGATACCGTGTGTTTACGGTTTTAAACTGCAAACGCTGCCATTATTTTCATTATCGATTATTATTTCGTCGTCGCCGTCTTGAATCTCGAAAATAATACGGTACCAATAACCTATATATATGTATACATATTATACATTTCCTACGGTCTCGTGTTTACTGCGCTTGTTTTTCTTTTTTCGCGTGTTCCCCCGCGTAGTATAACGCGAGCGAAACTATTCGAGAGTCCGCCCGTTTTCTTAATGACAAAGCAAATAGACGAAATTATTATTACAGTGACGATGGGGGAGGGGGCGGGGAGAAATTTGATAGTTTACGAATTCGAGCAAATTACAAGTCCCCGGGACTTTTAAGGATAATAATATTCGGATCGGAATACGTATACTATAACTGCGGACGGTATTTTTATAATGACAATAATAATTACGTATTGTTATTATTTCGCGAAATCGACACCCGCTAGCTATAGCCTAAAGGCAACCGTATTGAGTTCCGTAAAACGATAGTCTTTCCGAACGTTTGTTTCGTTTTGACGCGTTTAGTTCGGGGGTTTTATTTTTTACTTACCATTACCGCAGAGTACCACGTTGCCATCGTACGAATTCTTTGACTGACGAGTGCCTACTCTTCAACAACACTTCACAGAAAAAAAAAACCGAGTTTAAAAACACACAAAAAGAAAAAAAATGAGGAATATACGACGTATAATATCTATTAAAACGGTTTTTCGCGTTTTATTGTTTGAACAATTCTGAGACTGTAACACGACACATCGCTCGGTGTGCAATTGGAATATCACTTGGTCCACGATCCGCTTTCACAGCACTTTTTATATAATTGCTCCTACCATTTTCTTGTTCCCCACCACCGCCGACGCCGGAACACCACTACCACACGCCGTGCCGTTCGTTTTCATCACACATAGCGATGGTTACTTTTTATTATTATATTATTATTATTATTATTTTTTTTTTTTTCCCCGTCGACGATTCTGACCCGGAAAGATGAACCCGGCTGATGTATATATTACACGCCATGCTGCCGTTTTTACTTTTTTTTTTCCGCAATAAATTACGTACGGTCGCCGACCATCGTTGCGGTTCGATTGTATTATTATTATCGCGTATAGGTGCCAAAACGGTATCGAGTAAGAGGTCAGTTTTCACTCTCGTTTTTTTTTTTATCCCGGTGCCAATTCGCTTTTTAATCGTTTTCGGTTCCACGCGGCGGCGGTTCGTTTTCCGCTCACGTCTTAACGAACAGCACGCGAATACTGATTATCATATTGTTATTATTAACTAAGTCGGTAACTGACGATAACAATTATCGTATTATATCGTATAATTATCACCGTAATCGTTATTGTTTTCACGAACGCGCTTATAATGATAAACCGTGTGCGGTTTACCTATCGGTTTTTAGATTCTGAGCGCAGCGACCAGTGCGATGGTTTTAATGTGTCGCGTGTTAGTTTTTTTTTTTCAATCTATCCGCGACGACATTTCCCCGAGAAAACTCGCTTTGATTTGAGAAATTTTATTTTTCGATTTTTCTCGTACGTTTATTTACGATACAATTTGCAAACACCGGGGAAAAAAAATGCCGGAAAACTGGAAAACGCGTGAAATAACAGATACGTTTTATCTGTTATTTTAAATTTTGTTTTTTTTTTTTTTTTGCTTTTGTAATGCGGTTAAACGTAATCGTAAATCGTTGAGATCTGATGTTATCGCAAAACACTAACGTTGCATTTTTCTAGGTCCAATAAAATTGCCAAGACATTCTGGCAGTTTCTGAGCTATTTACAGGTATTTGAAGTTGTTGAGGTTTTTTTTCTACTTTTTATTTGGTTTTAAAGGGATAAAATGGTTTTACCCCGACCAAATCGTTTGAATATTTCCAACGAACTGAACATGACGCTTGGTGGTGAAAAAAAAATGTTCAGCGTAATACTTATCAATTTTTCGTATGCGTTAGTATAAGGTAACGAAAATAAGATTGACGAGAACTGGCTAAAAATAGCCTTTTTAAAACTTGTTTAATCGAACATCGCTCAGAATTGTATTTCGTTGTATTTTAAATTAATAGATCTTGTGTAGGTGTTGTCTTTTTACTTATTTCTTTTGTACTTGTTCGGTATATACTTTTTTGTTATCAGTAATCAAAATTTATTGTCTAAAATTTTATTTTAATCAGTGTGTTACTTTGAACGTTATTATTTTGTAGTTGTGATATATTAAATGCGAGGTCCCAAGAAAACATTTTAAATAATAATGGCGAAATCGCTACTATTTCTGGACTCAAAAAAAGCTTTCTTTTTTAGATTATATAAAAGCTACTATACTTATATATACGTATAGCTATACAGTATAATCATCCTCGGAGTTTCGTCACGAAAATTAAATCGAGGTTCGCACAAAGGAAATTTGGAACTATCAAACTATTGCAGGTAACCGAAGAGGCTAACTGATAATAGAGACGACTGGATAGAATTTATATGGACAACTGAAAAACCAACCATAGGCAGTTAGGTGTGTATACCAAAAGACGAAATAGCTGCTGCACACGTTTCCGTTTTATTTGAAAACTAATCAGAAACGCGTTAGTTATATTTTCAACGAACCTACCGAGTTAAAAAATATTACGCAATTCGTGCACGTTATAACATCTCGTTGGTATTATAATCGAATGGCACAATAATAATTATGCGACGACATTTTCGAAAAGAACTAGTTGGATACACACAATATACATACTTACAACCGCATATTATTGCCATTTTATTTATTTTTACAACGTCGTAACGAGAATAGGACCTAATAATAATACCGAATAACAATAATAATAATAATAATAATAATATTATTATTATTATTTATGTGGCCTATATTCACGATCGGCTAGACTGTATCGAATTTTCAGAGGTTATGCACGCACCACATATTATATACCCGTTGTTCATCAGTATTGGCTTGTTATTCGTTTCTATTGTGTGACTCAGAGGCCTTTCAATCTGGCGCCTAAATTGAGCTGAGGATCCTGCATGCTTACCATATACTTAAAATAACAATTTTATAAACACCCACACACATAAAAAACCAACAACACGATGATTGTTAATCAATCTGCCTATATAACTCAGTGTACTGACGAAGGGACGTAACTTTGATTGATATTTATCAAAACAACAGGCTGCGTAGAGAATAATAATAATAAAAATAATTTATTCATGTATAAATATGTTTACTTTAAATAATACAATTTTTAAAATAATATAAATAGGAAAATTAACTCGACGAAATCAATGCGTTTGATGAATCACGCTGATTTTACATCTACAATTTCCGTTTTTGAATCAGATTTGACGTTGTCGAAGTTGGAAGGCTTTGATAATTCAGCTTTGGTGACCAGTGCATCGACCTTGGCAACGGATGGTGTTTGGGTTTCGGTTTGTTTAGTAGCCGCTGCGTTCAAACGGATTTCCGACTCTGAAACGGACTTCTTGAAAACATCTTTTTTAGCAAACGGTTTTTTATCATAGTCGGGCACCGCGTATCTGCGTTGTTTCAACGTATACTCGATCCCGTCTTGTTGTTCGTCTTTTAAACCGGAATTGTCTTCGAACAAAATGTCTCCTCGTAACGGATAACTGGACTGTTCAGCGTTGTTCAACACAGGTGCCGAATACGTGTTCAGATTGTCTTCCGAATTTGGTTGTTCTGCAGGTGACACCGTGTCGTAAGTGATTGGGTACTGTACTGGACCCAGTTGTTCGACTGGTGACGAATACGCGACACTGGAGCTTGGGATTATAGATCCGGATGGCACATTCTGGTCTGATGTCACGGGGACATTGGATATTATGGCTTCTGGAAATTGGGGTTTTGAATTGGCCTGTTCAAATTCATTAATCCTTTGGTTTGTCTGTTCCGGATTTATTGGTTGATTGGCACCAACGTTGAAATCGTTTACTTCCGTGCTTAATGCTCCAATGTTTGTTTTTTGATAATAAAACTTGGGCTGGTCGTTGGGCCTGTAATTAACGGTTGTTGGTTTTGGGGCGTACGTATTGGCAGGTATTGGGTTTGGTGCATCAGTAGGGTACACAGCGATCGGTTGTCCGGTTGACGATGAGGAGTATGTGACACTGGAGCTAGGGAATGATGACCCAGATATTTCGACAGCATAGGGCTGTACGTTTTTTGGGAATTGTTGAGATTTTGAATTGATCTGCTCGAAATTTATCCTTTGGTTGACTTGTTCTGGAACGATCGGTTGGTTGGTATAGACTTCGAAATTGTTTACCACCTGTTCGACACCATAGTTTAATCTTTGATTTGGATACGCAGACTGTTTAAAGGGCGCCGTATTGAATTCCATCCGTTGATCGGTGTACGTATTTGCTGGTATTGGATTCGGTGCATTTGTGGGGGCAGAAACATCGATAGGTCGCGCGGTCGACGAAGAAAAGTACTTTACACCAGAGTTAGAGACCACTGGCTTAATAGACGCTGTTGGTCTGATTTTTTGAGATATAGAAGGAGTAATTGGATTTGTGTAGAGGGGATTTGAATTTGCTTGGTTCAAATAAATCCACTGGTTGGTTCTTTCCGGAATAATTGATTGATTGGTACCGACTTTGAAGTCATTCACTTCCCTATTTACTGTTAAAATTTTTGGTTTTTGATTTTGGTACTTAAGCTGGTAGTTGGGATTGTAACCGGTATTCGGTAATGGTTTTGCGACATTCGGGTTAGCCGATGTCAGAATTGGTGCATCGGTGGAATACATATTGTTCGATCGAGCTGTCGACGGAGAGGAGTACGGGATACCGGCGTTAGGGACCATAGATCCGTAAGGTCCGGCAATGTATGACGGTATGTTTTCGGCATATTGCTGGGGTTTTGAATTGACTTGCTGGAAATTGATCCACTGGTTGGCTTGTTCTGGAACAGTCGCTTGATTAGCACCGACTCTAAAATTATTTACTGCTTGTTCGGTTCCAAAGTTTAATCTTTGATTATCATACGTGGGCTGTCTAAAGGGTGCGTTATTAAATTTCAGTGGTTTATCAGCATACGTGTTGGCGTATGTAAGACTCGGCGCATCGACGGGTGTAATAACATCGATTGGACGTGCTGTCGACGGAGAGGAGTACGCGATACCGGCGCTAGGGACCACAGACCCGGAAGTTTCGGCAGTGTAAAATGGTATGTTTTCGGCATATTGCTGGAAATTGATCCCCTGGTTGGCTTGTTCAGGAACAGTCGCTTGATTAGCACCGACTCTAAGATTATTTACCACTTGTTTGGCTTCATAGCTCAATCTTTTATTTCCATACGTGAGCTGTCCAAAGGGTTCGTTATTAAATTCCAGTGGTTTATCAGCATACGTGTTGGCGTGTATACGCATTGGTGCATCGGCTTGTGCAATCACATAAATTGGTCGAGCTGTAGACGAAAAGGACGATACTTCCGAAACAGAGACCGTGGGTTTGAAAAGTGCTGCTGGTCCGTTTCCTTGATAAACAGAAGACGATATTGGGTTCGAGTAGACGGGGTTCGCGTTATAGGGATTATACCACTGAATGTGTCCTTCCGTATTTATTGGTCCACTGGCTGCGAATTTAATGTTTTGTTGATTTTGATACACTGGCCAGGTGTAGGGCGTGTTAGCGAGTGTCCATTGTTTTGTGGCGAATAACGGATTGGCTGCGTATTGAAAATTAGGTTGATAGTTAACTTGTTGGTGTGGTGGTGGAGGACAGTCATTGACCCAGAGTGCATAAGGTGATACGTAGATTTGATTTTTAAACAAATCAGTATTGTTTTGTGCAGGAATTATACTGACGATTGGTTTTTGGGCTTCAACATTCACCTGTACATCAGGTTCGACTGCAATGGGGTTTTCTGTGTTGATGGGTTCTTCGGTATAGGTTGTTGATGATACGGTTATGATGGCGGGTTCTTTTGTGGTAATTGGTTTGGCTTCTGTAGAAGTAGTCGATTCAGTGGTACTATAGTTTTCTTCATAAACTACTTCAGAATCGTTTGGAATTATTTCATTCACTGGTTTTATTTTCTGGCTTATCAATTGGATTTTTGTTCTGATTGCGTTTATTTTATTTTGAAGTTTACTTTTAAGTGTATCATGATTTGTGTTGTCGGGGACAGAAGCAGTCACAGAGGAAAGAGTAGAAGTATCGCTAGGTTGATTCACATTTATATTCTCGCCTAATAACCATTCGGTGTTCATGTCTTTGTCATAAACATTTTCATATTCTTTTTCCGGATTTGCTTCGGAGTTTCCAGAATTTTCCACAGGAAAGTCTTCGGGATTTCCAGAATTTTCCACAGGAAAGTCTTCGGGATTTCCACTAGACATTTCTGTGTATTGATTTTCGATTAAAATAGGATTTTCATTTGTTGGGTACGATGGGTTATTCAATTCAACTACTGTACCGTCGTTACAACCGCCTTCGGTCAGCTCACATTTATTTACGATGTATGGTATTTCTTCCTCAAAATTTGATTGTTCAGTGGCTAACAGCTTTGAGGCTAATAACGATTTTAAAAATTTTAAATGTTTGAAACTCTCTGCACATTGCGTTTCATATAAAATGAACGCCAGAAGTATAAATAACCGCATGGGATTCATCCTGAAATAGAATAAGGTGATTTTAAAATGTTGACCAAGTAACACAATATTACACGAAGAATAAATATATAGAAATTAAGATTTTCAGTACCCAATACAAATGCATTAAAAATAATCATGTTTGATAAGTTGTCTTCAAATCATGTTTTTCTAACGTCAATTATATATGTATAATATTATTCTGATTAAATAAACAGAAAAAAAAAAAAATAAATAAATAAAAATAAATTCTTTGACAGGCAATGATAAATAATTTAAAAAGGTACTTATTTAATAAATATCATACGAAATACCTATCTAATTTTAATGATTAAGTTGATGTAAAATAAATTAGGCAATTTATAAAACTTTATTTTTCTTCCAAACAGTTAATTGCATTAATATTATATGTAAAAATGGAAATATTTTAAATTACAATATCAATTAAATTAAAATGAGTTATTTTTTTTGTTCTAATGAACAAATGGGCGTTTTTTTACATACGTAACATAATAAAACGCTCGATAGCGTGTGACCATTAATAGAAATGAATGAATGTAGTGAAAATAATCTTAAATTATGAAAACATTTTCTATTGTTATTATTTTTTTTTAACTGTTACAAAAATAGTAGTGAATATTAAATTTTGTCGAAAATAATAATATTGTAATATAATGGTGGATATATTATACATAACATATTCTGTATACTATGATATTCAATTTCGAAATAAAGCTAATTTAGAAAATATTTTTTTTTTGATTTATCGTATTTATTTCGATTAGATATCAATACTCTAACACAGAGGTTCCCAAAATGTGGGTCACGACCCAAAAGTGAGCCGCGATCATTTTTTTAATGGATCACATTATATTTTTAAATAATACATATTTTAGAATTTAAATGGAGCTAGGAATTTATTGGTTTTGTTTATTGGTTGTTTTTTTTTTTACCTATGAATAGCTTTTTCACCAGTTATTTTGCTCTGATTTACAATGATGCCACTTTTTCTGAAAGAAAATCTGACTGGGGTGGTATTCTAGAGAGGTTGTTTTTTGATTTTCTCAACAGTTTACCCAATGAATCGGAACAACGAGAAAATGTATGTATTAGTTGAAAAATATTACGGCCTATTTTATTTTCCTGTTATACAAATTTTCCATCAGCAAATTTGTTCTATATTTGCAAATGAGAGTATGCAACTGAACAAACCTCATGAATCTTCTAGAAATGAAAAATAAACCAAAAACAAAGTGTCCTTGGTATTATTGTGGGTTGTCAACATTTAAATTATTTCCAAAATGGGTCGTATCAAAAAAAGTTTGGGAACCTCTGCTCTAACAGTTTCCAAATATTATATATTTGAGTGAAATTATATGTCATGAAACTATAAAATGAAAGAAAAACAGCGTTTCGAATGACAAAAACCGTTTTAGCTACCAATAGCTATACTTAGTACAGGGTGCCGGGCGAAATAAATATCACTAAAAGTTGTCCTAGGATAATGGGGACGGGTACAGCTGCCACTGTTTTAGGTGATAAGTTGGGAAGGTAGTATATAGACGGGAATTTAATGTATATCTGTAAGCAACGACTAACTATTGCTAACGAAAAAACAATTCTGAGTGGAGTTCGATCGGTAGTGATATATTATTAGTAATAATTATTTTTTATTATTGTACTTATTTTCCGTTCTCCCGGTCTTCTTATGTTTTTTCCAATTTACTGGGAAAACTCCTGGAAAAACCAAAAACCGACATCCTTAAAGTATCTCCCCAGTCCAATTTCCTTTCAGAAAAAGTGCTACATTTGTAAATTGGAACAAAATTGCTGGTAGAAAAGTTGTTCACAGGAAATAAATAAATAAACATTTTTTTAAAACCATACGCTTCTTCGTTCCGCTCAGGATCTAAAACTTTGTTGTTAACGCGAAATATTATATTATATCGAGTCATTTTTTTTTTTTCATAATTTTCAGTCCGTTGGCTCGGTTAAATGTCTCGAGTATCCGGCGTCCCGGGGCGAGTTGAAACAATTATTACGGTTATGCTCGGGATGCCCCGCGGACGATGCGCCGCGCGCAAAGAAATTAACAGCATCCCGCCAGACATCCGCGTCAAGTAATATAATAATAATAATAATAATAATATTATGATGATGAAGATGATTATTATTATTATTATTATTATGCTGTTCCCTAATTAAACAAACTTACGTACAACTTACCTACCCACGTGAAATACGTATTGTTGAAACACGCGATTGCGTTAACAACCGCCCTCCCAAACGTACGATACCGAACGCCGACTAAAATATTATTATTGTAATATACAATGGGGAGTGTATTAGGATACGGTATAATAATGACAGTATTATCAACTACACCCGTACACACATAACAATATATTGTGGGCCGGCGTTATTACGTTACCGCCGAGATTAGTATACGCGGTGAAAATATTGCGTTATAAAATCATCGTTTTATTTCTATGTATGCGCCGAAGGAATTACGTGTAGAACGTCGTCGGTCGCACGAATTCGATAAAAAATAATATTCTATTACCTATTGACGTTGTAGAAAAATGAAATGAAATCATAATCGACCGCATGAGCGTAACCGAAACTGATGGTCCGCGTCCATACGCACCGATTAATTTAAACTTTAAACGACATTGTGTTATAACATGCAGTGTCGTTTAATCGATTAGAAAATCGATAGTGATAATACTGTAATTGAATGGCCTTTATTTGTATTTTCGATTATAAGTTTCGCAATTATTCGACCCGTCTAAATGGAATTTAGAGCTTCGAAATTAAAAATCGTACGGCCATAATAATAATAAAAAAAAAGCGCCAAAACAGTCGTATCTAATAACGTTACGTATTTCGTATAGCAAATTATGTCACGTAAACATTATAAAATACAATATTATCATTGCCAATTTTTTAGGTTTTAGGTTCGTTATAGGCACTTTCTAACGAACAGTAATTATCATACGAAAACACTGTCCAATAAGTTTTGAGAAACAATAATGTAATACAATACTATAATATCATTCAAAAATGTAATTATCATATTATTATGTATAACTTTTCGAGCACCAATTATTATAATTGTGTAGACAGGACTTTGTTATGGAATATTTTGGAACTATTATATTATAACGAAATCCCAAACACTGTTCGGTTTATACACTACCTACACCCACATCTACACCTGCGCGTATACTACACGCACGGGAGAGTGTAGCGTTTGAACTCTGAGCCTGTTTAATTTCGGCGTTATTGTGTTATTTTTCTCGAAAAACACATTTTCCGAGACGGTGAACTTGTTCAAAGAGTTTCTCGTGTATAACATGATATTACAGTAACCGTGGAAGTATATTATTATTATTATTATTATTATTAATAGGTAAACACGATACTTTAAAACGGGATTTTTTTTTTTTTTTTATAATTATCGTTCGCAGACGGTGTCCTGTTTGTACGCACATCGCTGGCAAAACGAAGCGAAAATCGCAATATATTTTAAGGGCCAGACTCGTAGAGTTTTACGATGTCGTTAGCGTTTGACAACATTATAAACGAATCTATCGCTTGACGCGAGAAGAGCTTAGGTCAAAAAAAAAAAAAAAACTTATATTGAAAATTGAAAATTTGTCGTTAAAAATAGTAATAAATTTATTTTCAAAAATTTAACGTCGAGTCCATATAATTACCGTACCTAATTTGTGGGTATTTGTATTTTTTGACATTGATGCCATTTGTCCGTAGTCACGGAAATAATTCAATCAGTTTTAATTGAGTAATGGATTTCGATTTTCCGTCATGTAATCAAAAACTATAAAATAAATCGGTTAATAGAATATTTGAAAAAATTGGCCACATTCAAACTCGAATTACCTTTAGAAATATAATTTTTAATATCCAAGTCCAAATAAAAAATATTCATCTTTCCAAAAAAAAAAAAAAAAAACAAACGAAATCGATTTATTAAGTATGAAACTTTTTCTTTTAAAATTATGTTTTGAACCAAAACACAGATCGCGCGTAGGCTCTCCAATTTAATTATTCTAAGCTACAAATCGTTTTCGGTTCGCGATTCACTTCTGAATATGTTTTAAACAATAAAACGCAATACTATACAATTATCAGACGACGGGACGGTAAACGGAGCGAGACGTGTTTCGCTTTAGGTGTTTAATTAATTTCTTCAGATAGGTACATCGCAAAACTGTTATAATAACACAATAAATATTAACATGACGAAATTTATGTTTTTTCACTGAACGAAACATTATTACAATTATACCTACTTAATTAACCTTACTGTACGAAACACTACGAAACAATTGGCGTAATTTCTTTTCTCATAATTCCCCTAGAACTTTCAATACACTAGGTATTGGTGGTTCAGACCCAAACATCAGACAAAACTGTAGAAATCGTGTAGTTTGATGGATTTCAATATTGAAATCGCATCCATCTGTCTACGATTCTTTAGGTTGGAAATAGAAATGTAATTGGTTTACTGTAAATCGTAAACAAATTTGATTGCACTTTTGAAAAATGCGCTCAAAGTATCGCCTTTTACGTAACAAAAGAGAACAAAGAGAATTCAAATCGAAAAAATAATTTCAACGTATCCTTAATCCCACAGTAAAGAATATAACTCAAAAACGAAATCCGTCAAACGAAATTCAAGACAGTTTTGTCTAAAACGTCTTATTCGTCCGTGAAAACGGCCGAACCTTTTCCCCGCATTAAACGAAAAACTATTTTGAGCAGGGTATTAGTAATCGTATTTTTTTCCCGTTATTGCTAGAAGGTAACCCGGAAATCAACAAAAATTATACAACAAATTGCGAGTTTTCACCGATTTATTAAGACAACTGAACTAGGGAAATTGTCGATAAATGACTTCACCTTGTAACGACAAGATGAAAACTGCTACAAGAAAGTTCCTATAAACTTATGGTTCCAGCGATATTTCTGGTGGAAAATTAGTTTACAGATATCTAGAAAACCAAAAATAACGTAATTTAACGTAATAACGATCCATTCATCGCATCGCTCTGAATATGATAATTTAGTTTTTAATTTAATCTAATTACGTATTAAGAAAAAAAAAAACATATTAAAAATATTTATTCATTTAAAAAACGTATATATAATTGTAAAATAATGTATATAATTATTAAATATCAGCAATCGTTTCGTAATAACAGAATATTATATTAAAACTGTTTTTACACGTACGCATCGGCGCGTGCCGATGCTCGAACGTTTTTCATTAATTTCCACCGTTATTGGCGGATAACGATAGTACGAACATAATTATAATATAAAGTGTATAATTATTATTAACTCGTAGGTACACGTCCCGAGAGGATTTCGTGTTTTACGATAGTATTGTTACGAAGGAAATGGCGGAATTTCGCATTCTCGAAACCGACGAATCTCCGATTCAAAGATCCGTCCGTCCACTCCGTCCCCTGCAGCCTGGTTGAGAATTTACAATTAATCGCTTATTTACACAGTGAAATTTCGTTGTTAAGTCGTCCAATAATAATTATAGTATGGCGTTTGATTTAATTTCGAATAAGGTGAATCAAAGGCGCTACGAATTTAAACCGTATAATACACAATACAACAATTGTATAGTTTTGGTCAAAGGTTTGTCCGATTTTAAACGGTTATTCATTAACTCGGTATTTTGTTTTTTTTTTCGGCAATCACGGTGTGTTATTAGTCGTTTGATATTAGCGTCGAGCGAACGTTTAGATTTGCGGCCGTTACCTATGTTATGTACAGTAAAACTTCCATAAAATTCGGTCACCGAAGGGATCGGAAATAATGACCGCTATTTAGAGGTGTCCGTCTTTTAGAGGTGACGGTTAACGGAAGTTTTACTGTATTGTATAGTTTAATGGCTCATTAATAAATCCGTAGGGACGCGTTTGTATTTCAAACGAATTAATTAACTGTTAGTAATTGCTTATTTTGCCGTGCCATTAATTACGCGGGGCCCGGGGCATACCGTGTTTTTCCGGCCGATAATTTATGTTTTATTTTTTCGTAAAACTATAGCGTCCCGTATAAAATCAGTAAGAGTTAAATTCCGAAACGTGTCGAAAAACAAAGGGTTTTGTAACGTGCAATGGGTTTCCAGAATCGTTTTAAAATATCTTCGAAAATGTTTAAAACTGTTCGATATAATATGTAACAGACATTCGTTTTGAAAATCACGACAATTTGTGATTTTAGATTCTGAGTGGAGTGAGGATTGGTTTAACAATGGCTTTTATTTTTTTTTATTTTAACAATAATGTTTTTAACAGAAATTTCGCTCTGGTTTTCGAGTATAGCACTTTTTTTGAAAGGAAATTGGAACGGGGTGGTACTTTGAGGAGGTCATTTTTTGTTTTTCCCAAGAGTTTTCATAATAAACGGGAAAATTTACGAAATTCATTATTTGTAAATCATAAATATTAGACGACCTTTCAGAACATCCGAACTCCGCTCGGAATCGTTTTTCGTTAACAGTGATTAATCTTTGCGTACAAGTTAAATAGTCCCCTCTACCTTGCCAACTTTTCACCTACAACAGTGGCCCAACCGTTTAGCGAAGTATCTCATGTCCGTCAGTTTTTTCACGTGATTTTGTACCGATTTTTCGGATTATAAGTAGGTTTTTTTTTTTCATTCCGGTTTAAATACATTTTTATCGTAAATATTTCACCAATGTCCGCATTTCTATTATCTACCTGCTTATCTACGATTATTCGATCGTAATGTGAAATAATATTTAAACCAAAAACGATATTTTCAAACGAACAAAATAACACAACTGTAGGTACAAGTGACTATATAGTTTCATTTGAGGAATAACGATTTTAAAAAGAGCTGATACTGGGGATAGGTATGGCCACTGTTGTAGGTGAGAAGTTGGGAAGGTATTATACATAAGGTTATTTCATTTCATAACCGTAAGCAACGATAAACCATTGCGGACGAAAGACGATTCCGAGTGCAGTTCGGTGTACATAATTTGAAGTGGCGTAATTTTTTTTTACGATTTAAATTTAAATTTGATTACGAAATGTGAGCATTCTGTCTATTTTTCAAGTCAAATGATCTAAGTATTTACCAAGCAGATAAAATTAATTTTCAGAAAAGGTGCTACACTTATACATAGGAGCAAGTTTTCTAGGATAAAAGTGGTCTACAAGTATAAAAAAAAATAGCTGATCCAGTATACATAATTTGAAGTGCCGTAATTTGTTTTGTGGTTTTCGTTTAAATTTGATTTTAAAACGTTTATTAAAAAAGGAAAAGAAGCCGTTCGATGAATTTGACTATGTCTAGGTTAATCCAATATAAGTATTATCACCAAGTTTCAAGTCTACATGTATTTATAACCGAATTACAGCAAAAAAACTACCAAAAGTTTTAGCGATGATACCGTAAGAAAGTAAATCAAAAAGGCCACAAAAAAAGTATCTCATGATATTTCGAATTAATCATTTTTTCTGGTAGGAAACTTCGTCTGTGTTTTTATAAAATAAAGCAATCGTGAAATTGTAAGTTTTCCTACGTTTTTTCCCACTTAGGTGCTTTTATTTAAAAAATTGCGTCGAAACCTAAAAAATGACCTCTTTAAGATACCATCTAGACAACTTGAGCTTTCAGAAAAAATGTTATACTTATACATCGGAGCAAGTTTACTATGAAAAAACGTGTCCACAGACTAGAACAAAGAACAAAAGAAAAGAAGAAATAAATAGCATTGTAAAACCAATAGCTCCCTCGCTACGCTCGGAATCTAAAATTAACGAATTTCAGGAAAGTCAATTTTGTATTGTTTTCAACACGATCAAATTAACCGTTGAAAATTATTAAATGGCATAATCACGGCTAAATTGTATAATAAATATGGCCTGTATATAAATATAACTTGATAAGTCATTTAGTTTATCATAATAAATAATAACATTATAATGTTGTTATATGTTCATAGTGATTAAAATTGTTGTAACCACTTCTTTTCAAAAAATCTATCGATTGAATGTTATTTTTTTACTATAGGTAAAATTATATCTAATTATAGGTAGACATGCTAAATTTTAAGATTTTAATAATAAAGAAAAAAACACTATAACACGTGTTTGTATTAGTTATTACGCGTGCAATGATCAGTTGCATATAGACCGTATTAAACTATAAAGCGGAAAGAATTATAAGAGACGAAATTATAAAACATTACAAATGCCGAAAATTCACATAATCACTTTTTCCGAATTGAAATTGTTATTAAAATTTAATTATTATTATGAAGGGGGGTCGGATCGAAATCGGTTTTTGTACGTTTAAGATCGATAAGCGGTGGGGAATTAGACACAATTTCTGATTAAATGTTTTTATTTTTTTTACTTTGTTTCATTTATCGTCAAATTTGTTAAGTTTCTAAGGAAGTTGATTTTCATTATTCAGTTTTGAAGACCTCCAGAATTGTGACATTAATTTCGAGAATTCCATGAAAATACCAAATACGTTTGTGTTTGTTTTGGGCATACCGAATTGCAAATCGAAAATCGACTTTCCAAGAAACCTAGAGAAATCGTCAACAAATCCATAAGTACTCAAAAAATTAAAATCGAACATTGGGACACGTGTCTAATTAGTAATTACCCCTAGCTCGTCGGTTTAATCTGTAAAAACGACCGCATCCCATTTCCTTGAGCGGATACTGGGTTGGTAGACAGGTGAAAAAGCCTCAAAACGGTCTTAAAACGGTACCTAAAAGCTAATTCTCAAACTTAAGACACCCGTGCCAAATTCGTATTTCCCACAAAAATACACTCTACGGAAACAGTCATACCGTTCAGAAGAATCGATTAAATTAAATTTTTTTTATTATTATTATTAATTGAGGGAAACAGTCTACAGTCGGTTATGAATTTCATTTTTCAATATTTTTTTCTCGACGTTTATAATCGGTCTTTAAAAGAAATATTATTTTACCATTTTTTTCCCGCTATTTGAAATCGGAATTAAAAGAAAAAAAATCGGAGTTCAATGCGGCCTGTAAAACGTCGACGTTTGTCAATAAAGAAAATTTGTTTGCAAAAAAAAAATATCGAATCGTCATTATTTCCGCGAAGTCATTATCGTCGGCACAAACGGCCCTACCCAACCTTCGCCCCGAACGGGTAGCGTCGGGCAGCGGACCCGTCGAAAGGACGCTGCCTTTCAAGGCGGCAATCGAAATGTTAAAAATAATCGCGTAAACATTTAAACGAAACCGGAGAGAGAAAACGCTGAAAAACCGGCGCCCGGTCCGTCGGCGCGGTCGCCGAACGTTCGGACGAGCCGCTCCATTCGAAAAAAAAACTCGGCCCCTAAACGGCCGAAAGCACGGCGGGCCTTAAGCGCGCCGCGGCGTCATTACTCACCCGAAAAGTGGCGGTGTCTGGCTGTTGCGCGTCGGGTGTTCCGGAACGTCGTCGTCGACTCGTTCGGTATCGGTGGCACGGGTACGACGGGCGCCGTGGAGAGAATCGTTGTGTCGCGGGACCGTTGAGACCTTTTCGCCGTTAATGAGACGACGATGCGCGACCGGGTGTATTTATACGCGACCGCGGATCCGCGGGCAAACGGCGAGTGTCCCCTGTGCGCGGCGTTACAATAACAAGGCGGGCGCTAATGGCTTCCCCGACTCGGGCCTAATGACTTGTCCCGCGGAAACTGGTCTTTTATCGACGGCCGTTTCGACGACGTTATCGTAATGGACGCGCGCGTACGGCCGCCGCGGCGCCGCATTCCGAGGGCCGGACCTCCGGCGTTCCGAACGGTTTTTTTTTTTTTTCCCCATTACCGCCCGGAATACCGGCGCCCGCGATTGGCGCGCGTGATCATTACACGCGTGTTTTATTGTCGTACGCGTACGTACACCGCAGCCGCGCGTTTCTTCTATCGTTAAACACTCGTCGTCAAAACATTGTGGCTTTGCTCGGAATCCGTCCCGCGGAGAGAGTTCGATATAAACGAACGGCCCTACGGTTTTTGCGTTTGCGTTGTTTCTTGTCGCCCCGATTTTCGGGGGGTGGGGTGGAGGGGGGGGGTTCTGGCCGCAATTGATTTTCAAACGGCCGTCCGCATTTAAAACTCCCCGGACGCGCGGAGTGTTGGTTGAAATGAATTTCGGCGTTGAAATGTTCGATTTCCGTACCATCTGTCGCCGAGACGTTGCACTTTTGAGTTTGGACCGGGGTGAGAGCGTGGCGCATCGTTTCACGTAGCGGCACGGCGCGCGATGTTTCAATAACGCACCACTACTCTCCTCCGACCGAAACTTAAAAGTGAAACATCTCGTTGACGGACCGACGGAAATCGAACGTTTCAACACCGACATTTTATTTTATCTGATACTCCGTCTGTCTAAGGCGTTTCTAATGTAGGTAGCCGTTTGAAAATGAAAAGCAGCCGGTCGTTTCGGCCCGACAAATTAGGGTTTACAAGTCTATGTTAATTTACATTGAAATGTCCATGCATAAATAATAGAGTATTAGTTTAAATAAATTTGAATTTGAAATTTTTTGATTTCCGTCAACCCGTTTGCACGGTACTCAACTTTTAAGTTTTTGCTAGGGGGAAAGTAGTCGAGTATAATTTGATCGCACGGATCGCGGCGGCGTTAGAATATATCATGAACGGTTTTTGACGGAAATCAAAAATTTCAACACCGAAATTTATTTAAACTAATATTCCAACAGTGTATGAAAATTTGAATATAGGTTATTAGGTTATAGTTATTCTTCGCCTGAAAAGAAGGGCGACTAAAATTATCGGTAATGTAAAATTTTAGATCTGCTTGTTTCTTAAACAATGTTTACTAAAAATGTATACATAAATTGTGCCGCTAAAAAAAAAAATGTTATATTCAAATACAAAACTCTTTTAGTTAATTTTAAATTTTTTTTACAATAATTATAATTTATTGTAATTAACTACAGCTTTAGACCGATTGCCTTGAAATCCGTTGCAACTTGCTGTGTCGGTTTTATACTTCAAAAACATTTAGTTTATGTACATTTTAGAAGCGCACATTTTTTATGCGCACCGCCTTTTTTTTTTTGTTAAGTTTTTTATTAAAAAAAATGTACAATTTCGGTGAACACTTTTTATTATTTCTTTACCACGTTGGCCTAAAATTACACTCGTTATAAATATACGAGGCACGACGAGTATACCGTAATAAGGCTTTCTGACTTTCCACCTACAACATTGGCACAGCCATTAACAGTTTTAGTTTTTTTTTTCAATCTCGAATAAGGTGCGTCTATTTCGAACAAATTAAAACCAAATCAGCATGTCACGGCAAAAGTTGGGTTAAAGTTTCAATATGAATTATGAATGGGTGATTTTATTGGCTTTGTACACCCTTACAGACTCCCCAAACGGAGCTAGGCAGATGTAATTTTGTACACGGGCTAGTGTCGTAGTATATGTCTTTTCGGGGGAGGAGGGTGGGTTCAAGTTTTATACTCTGCCCCTACCGTTTTTACAATCAAATGTCATCGGATAATATACAGAATAGGCGGTGGATAATTCGATTCTAGCGACTGAACTTTGGTGCTTGCTGGTGTTTATTTAATCTCGTTTAATAGTTCGAGATATTGAAATTGTACTCTCTGGTATGTATTGATCCTTACCAATTGTCCATATCCTTGTCCATTGCAATCGAACAGTTGCTTACGAGTTTAATTAAATTTCACCTCATTTCACTTCAGCATTATATTATTTTGTATTCATAACGTGGGCCCCCACTATACAAATATATATATGTTGGCGGTTTAAAAAACTCGCAATAATCCAGTCGAGTATGAATTTATGTGTTTTTTTTTTTTTAAATACCTAAAAACTATTGATTTTCAGTTTCATAGCGGTTTGTTTATTGTTGATTTTATCGTACGAATATAAGGATAAAGATTTATGGAAAAAAATAAACCCTGTAAACTATAGCCGAAATTAAATATAAACTCGAAATTCTAACGGAGCATGTACACGCACGTTATTTTTGCACTTTGAATACTTCACGGACTCGCGCAATAATTTATCGGACACGTATTGAAGACGAAAGAAATATTGAATTTATTCATAATCAATAATTATTATTTTAGATTCCGAGCGCTGAGCGTGGTGGGGAATCTATTCGTTTTACTACGGTGCGTGGTGTTTTTCCTTCTCGCGTCTGTGAACAGCTTCGTTCCGATGATCAATTTTAGAGGCGAAGAGGTTTCTGGCAGACAATTGTTTTCCGTTGGCGATTTGTTGGGAAAAACCGACAAAAAAAAAAAAACCCCGCCGGCAGATAATAATCGTCCGTTAAATGCTTAGCTCAGGATCGCTTTTCGTTTTCAATGATCTGTCGCCGGACATAATATGTATCCCGCGAATCGAACAGAACTAATGTGCATCGATACCCCTGCCTTCCCGACCCCCCATCTACAACAATGGCCTACCCGTGAGCAGTATTCGCACGCGAAAACAAATAATATACATAGATATATATGTATACATGTATTTTCCTATTTATGCTCGACAATTTTAATGCGGAATTGATTGAATTAATCGAATGCAAATTTAATGTTAATTTATTAAACATTTCGTATTGATATTGCGTAATATCGCGCATTCTATTTAACATGCAATTATTAAACAATTATAGTACACATTCGTGTTGATTACAACATTAGGTTAATTGGTTTGTACAACAATTTAAACGTGGCCATTTTTCTCTCTGGAGGAGGGATTTTAATTTGATGTTTTCGATTGTTTTCTACTTTTTTTGTTCGTTTTGGTACGTGTCGGTCGGGCTTGATTTTTCCAATATATAATTATATTTTTTTTCTTTTTTTTCTTTTTCTAATCAGATTTTTAGCGTTTTCGTGCGTTGTCGTCGTACGGCAATACCGTTATTGTAACACAAAATTTTTTCGGCGTCGCGGCTGTCAGGTACCTACAGACACGCGAAATGTTTCAATAAAAACGAATTCTCCCGGCTCCCCGCGCGTTTGGGTCAGCTGCGTTTGTCGATCTAATTAACACAACACTGTGTTATTATTGTTATTGCCGTGGTTTTTTTTTTTTCATTCGTACGTAGAAAATAATAATAATAATAATACATCGTCGAAAAAATCCGCTATCCTTATATCGTTATTATTCGTTATTGTTTGTTGCGCCGCCGAAAACCGGGCGGGGGCCGCGGCGCAGTTTTCGGCCCGCCGGCAACCGTGACCCGGATTTTTCGTCGTCGCGCGTTTTCAAACGCGGTTTTGTCGGGCAACATTAAATCGGCTCGCCGCGGCGCGTTTCTCGCGGCCGTTGCGTAACGTCTCACGCGCGCCGTTGCGCAATAATATCGGACTGTCCGCAGTGCTGTACCCGCGGGCGGGTCGGCCCGCACAAACGTATTGCGTTCCCGTTACACGCGTCGAACGCAACGGCGCAGGTTATACGACGGCACGTTGTCGTCCCGTTGCCGTGGCTCGGCGACGCGGCCCGCCCGCCAATCGTTCCGCCCGGCGCAGTGACGGCCGTGTCAACGGATTCCCCGTTCGACTCGGGGCGGGCAAAACGCCGCGCTGACGCCGCATTACGATTACGACGACGGGGGGGACGTCTGCCGGACGGGCCGCGCGGACACAATTGGTTTCCGCGCCGAAGAAATCGTCGATCGGGCTGGGCGATCCGGTCGGGTTCGCGCGGGCCGGCGTTCGTCGATCGTCGTCGTCCCGAAAAGCGTCGGGGTTTCCCCCCTCCCCCCTCGCCCGGTCGGCTCTCCGAGACGCCGTTCGAAAATGTCGCACAGGTTGGCCATTTGGACGCCGAAAATCGGTTAGCCGTTTCACCCCAACACGGCGAAACATAATAACGTACGTTTCACGGCCGCCGCTTGTTTCGTAATTTTCCAAAATATAAGAATAATAATAATGCAAATTTCCGAAAAAAAGTTAACGCTTTCCGATTGTTTTATTGAGTGACTGATTGACTGACGCTGTGCCGTACGGTTTTGTACATCAATTAGGTGTTTGGCGTTGATTCGCTTTAACGCGACGGCGTAAAGTCGCAAAGACCGCCGAACACGTCTTACACTGAGAGCATTTGCAACACGAGCGCATTGCAGTGCTCAAGCGCGGGCGATTTTTCTACCGATATTATTATGTTTTTCTTCGGGGAAAACGTTTACGGAGCGGGCGTCGCGCATGTCGGGACACCGCGCGGAAACCTATACTGCGCTATAAATAATAAAATCACTAGTGTCGCGCGATAATTTCGTTCGGAATTAGTACGTGAAAAAAAAAAACAAAACCAAAACGGGATGGTAAAAACAGCCGCGCGCCCGATACGGCGCGGTAGCGTATCTACGGCGGATCGTTATTATCATTTTCGTTTCATAAATATTGTTCGGCGGTATTCAACCGTGCGCGCGAACGATGGCCGTTCAGATTTTTACACGTTTTCATAGTTTTTTTTCCCCTCCTTCCCCCGTTCTTTTTTCGATTCTGAGCGGAGCGAGCTTTTGTCGCGCACGAAGCGACCGCGGCGCGACAAGCATTTTTCGTTTGTTTTGATATCAATTGTACGTGCCATATTATTACGATCGGCGGAGGCCGTCCACCGTTGTCCTCCGTCTCGCAGACGATATTTGT